GTACACCATCCCGCCCATATACACCATCCCACCCATGTACAGCATCCCGCCTGTGTACACCATCCCACCCTTGTACACCATGCCACCCGTGTACACCATCCCGCCCGTGAACGCCATCCCCCGTGTACACCATCCCACCCATATACGCCATCCCCCAGTGTACGCCATCCCGCCCATGTACACCATCTTGCCTGTATTCACCATCTCACCCATGCTCCTCAGAGCGCCAGGCCCACTAAGTAGCCACCTTAGTCATCACTTTCACTGGGCGCTTGACAGACATGTCAGTGGAAACCACCCCAAACTCAGCTTCTCGCTTCTCTCTGGAACTTCCCAGTTGATAGCAAATCCACCCTTCCAGCTGTTCAGGCTCCAAACATTGGAGCCACTTTTCATGGTTCTGTCTCTCCCCGCATGCAGCCGCCAGCGAGTTCCAGTAACTCCACCTTCAGGAGAGGCCGAGTCCGGCCCTTACCAGCTGCCGGCTGCCGCCACTCAGGCCCCTGGCTGGATTATTCCAGCAGCCTCCTCGCGGGGTTCCGCCTTCCACCCTCATCACTGGGGCCTCCTCTTCATACATCAGCAGAAGGACTCCTTAGAAATACTCCACAGTGCTTCGTCTTTGTTTAAAACCCTTTGACACCTTTCTGTAGAACCCAGTCAAGTCCTCTCTGGGCCTGTAAAGAGCCTTGTGGCCTGCCCCACCCCATCCCGCTGACCTCAGTTCCCGCATTCCTTCCCCTCCATGGCCTGCTCTAGCTGCCCGGAGCTGCTGGCTGTTTCTGGAGCACACAGAAGTGTACCTGGAATTCTCCCAGCATCCCACATGACTGGCTTCTTTCCCCTGGTCTGCTTAAATGCTGTCTGTTCTGACCTTCCCTGACCACCTGATTGAAAATGTCACCCTCCATCCTGGCACTGCCTGCCCATTGCTCCGGGAAGCCCCTTCCAAAGCACTCCAGAATCCAGGTGTTGCGGCTCTCCCGCTGGACTGTGATCTCCACCTGAGCAGGCCTTAGGCGTCTGTTCACTGCTACATCCTGGCCTGTAACAGGCCCTTGGTGAATGTGGAGGGAAGGAAGGGCTGTCCGCGTGTGTGTGCTGGCGAGGGGGGTTACATTTCAGCCGCCACGCTTGTGAGCTCACCTTCATCAGTAGGCAGTGTGATCATCCAGGCAGGAATGAGACAGTCACTCTGGCAAGGACAGGCTTCACAGAAGGGACTCGAGGTGGGGACTGAGGCATGGGTCTCAGAGGTCACCTGCAGAATTGGAATACCTGTCCCCACAGCTCACCCTGGCCAGGGTGTTGAAGGCTGCAGGTCATGACGTCTTGGTAGAGAAGGAGAAAAAGAGACCTGGGCTGTGTATTCTCTTTTTAAAAGATAGTAATCTTATGTTACATGGTTTCCCCCACCTCCTTCAACACACACACACACACACACACACACACACACACACACACACACACTCCTCTCGTGTTTGTTCAGTAAGGATGAATTGAGCAGGTTGGAGGTGGGAGGCCATAGGCTGGCCCCGGGGGGACCTGGTGCCCAGGCCTGCAGCTCCAGTGCTGTGCAGCCTCTGGTCTCATGAAGATAACCTTGGCCTGGCCTGTTAGCTGCCCCCACCAGGGGCTTGGCGGAAAGGGCAGGTGCTGAAAGCGTCTGCCGCATGGAGGCAGGCAGGCTGCTCAGAGGACCGGCTTTCCCGCTGAGAGCGGAGGGTGAGCTGCTGTCTGGGATGAGCCCAGCAGTGGGGAAGAGTGTGAGGGAGATGAACGGTCTGCAGGGAGGAAGCCCAGGTGCTGTCCTGGAGCTGAGACAGGGCCCAGAGGCTTCTATGTGAGCAGGGCGGAACCAGGACAGAGCCCTCCCCGGGCCTGGCGGGTGTCGGCGATACACAGAGCCTCCTGGTAGGCACGCAGGCCGTTGGCTGCCAGCCCTGCCCTCTGCAGGCAGCACCTCTGGCTGGCGGCAGAGTTCATTTAGCCCCTGGGCACCTCCTCGGGTGGGTCTCTGGGCCAGATGGGGCCGCACGTTCCTGCTTTAGCTTAGGAAGTTGGTTTTAAAGACATTGATGCTTTCTCTTGACTGTAACGGTCATTTCTACTTTAATAGAAAATAAGATCCGTGAATTAGAATTTTTTTTCTGGTCAATTGCACCCCATTCAAACTTTTCCTTTTGACTTTTCATTGTGGCAATTGGACATTCACGTAGTTCTCAGTTCAGACAAAGCGCATACTTTTTGGAGAATTTCTGTCTAACATGCTAGAGTGTTGATTCTGCTGGTGCCTGCTCTCAGCATTAGTGATGCCAGGAGTAACTGTTTTTCTCCCTGCCTGGCCGTGGCGCCCCTAGTCCTTGAACGCGGCACTGAAGCACCTGTGTGAGATCCTCACGGACGATCCGGAGGGCGGGCCGGCTCGCATCCCCTTCGAGACGTTCTCCTACGTCTACCGCTACTTGGCCAAATTAGACTCCGACATCTCTCCCTCAGAGACAGAATCCTACCTTGCCTCTCTCAAGGAAAATATGTAAGTATGCACACGCTCTGGGATCCAGGTATGTTGGCCGTGGGGGAATTTCCTGTCTGACTTCTCCCATGGAGGGAAAAGTTCAGTTTTCCCTTTGCTCTGACACCGCAACAATAATCAACACAGAAACAGCTCTGACCACATGTGTGGGGGTTTTTCCTCACCAAAAAGCAAGCAAGCCGTTCTGCAGCAGACACCAGCTGTGCGTTCTCATTCAGCTGTGACCCTGTCTACCTGGAGATAGTGTGAGATCCCACAGGATGAGGGCTCAGTCCCCAAGACTGCCCCCACCCTGCCCCATTACTGATGCCAGTTGCAAGCCCCAGGTTATTTTGGCTGTGCTTCTGATCAACTGGCTATAAAACGGGGTTCCCATGACCCTTCCTAGGGTCGATTAATTTGCTAGAATGGCTCACAGAACTCAGAGAAACACTTAGGTTTACTAATTTGTTACAAAGGATATTTTAAAGGTTACCAACAGTCAGAAGAAGACAGACATAGAGGGAGGGCTGGAAGGGTCTGGAGCTCGGGGGCTTCTGTTCCCCTGGACTTGGCGTACTTCCCCTCCCTGCATATGGATGAGCTGTTTTCACCTTCCTGTCAGCCTCCATGAGTTTAGCTACTGGGAAACTTTCTGAGCCCTGTCCTTTCAGGATTTTTTTCTGGAAGCTTCGTGATGTAGCCTTGACTGATTAAATCATTGGCCATTTGTGATCCCCTTAGCCCTCAGCCCCTCCCCCCCAGGCTGGCCTGGGCTGACAGTCCCACCCCTCTAATCCTGCCTCGGGCTCTCCAATGACCAGCCCCGTCCTGAAGCTGCTTGGTCGCCAGCCAGTCACGAGCATACAGAAGTAAGTCACTGGAGAATCCACAGATTTTAGGAGCTGGATGACAGGAGACAGCGTTGATGACCAAATATAGATTTCACAATCTTACCTTGTCACGGTAACTTTGTCCCAACAAATCTTGTGTTTGGCAGAAGATTCAGTCACACCTGATGGTACTCGGGGTGGGCGTACGTGGAGCTGCGAATCAGAGGCCATCAGTGAAATCAAGCAGCACCTCAGAAGGGAGCCCAGTCTCCCCTGTGGCTTCCACCCGTGTAGGCTGAGGCTCGGGTTTCTTTAGACTTTAGAGGGAGAGAATGTAACCTGTCATTAAGACCCATGTATCCCAAATCTAGCCTGATTCCCATGTACAGTATGTCAGGTGGTATTAAATTGTAGTATGTTAAAAAGTGAGACAGAGCTGGGTGTGGTGGCTCACACCTGTAATCCCAGCACTTTGGGAGGCGGAGGCGGGTGGATCACAAGGTCAGGAGTTCAAGACCAACCTGACCAACATGGTGAAACCCCATCTCTATTAAAAATACAAAAATGAGCCTGGCCTGGTGGTGGGTGCCTGCAATCCCAGCTACTCAGGGGGCTGAGGCAGGAGAATCGCTTGAGCCCTGGAGGTGGAGGTTGCAGTGAGCTGAGATCATGCCATTGCACTCCAGCCTGGGCAATAAGATCGAACCTCCATCTCAAAAAATAATAATAATTCATTTCTCTATAGTGAAACATAGGCATTGATTTCTGCTGGTGGACAGCCTGGCAGTGAAGCCATGGACACAGGATCATTTGCAGAAACTTGAAGATGTCATTGACATCAGTCACACAATTCTTGCTCCGATGGACTTGCCATGTGACCCCGACACATTGCATGTGATATTGTATTTGCACCAGGCTGAGTTCAATGTAAGGCTGGTTCTGCTCTAAAGCATGACCTGGTGCTAACATTCGAATATATTGTCCAGTATTCTGATCACACCTGTGACATTTTTAACAAGATTAATGAGTTCTCCCTTTAAAGATAAGATACAGAGTAAAAAGGAACAAAGCTCTTGGGTCCTGCGGAAGTTCTCACGTGTTCATTCCTTAAACCATCATTGGGTGCTGACTCTGCACCCTGCTCCACCTATGGGGAGGCAGAGAAAGCAGCTGGGGCCAGTGGGGTGTGCAGGGGCAGTGGGAACAGTACAGGGCGGGGTCCGGGACGCTGCACTGCTGCAGAGTAAGCCTGGTGAGCGGGAGGAAAGGGCCCAGGTCCTCCAGGCTCCAGCCCCAAAGGAGATGGTGCCCCTGAGGTCTCCCCAGTACTCCCTCTCGGGGCCACCACCCCTCCAAGTGCTGGTGAAGGTTTGTCCCTGAGCCCCACACCTCTCATCTTGAATCGCCCACAGTACAGTTTATTGAGCACCTGCTCTGTGCTGGGCACTGGTGCAGGTGCCCGGATGTAGTCAGTGAATAGGTCATATCTGTGAAGCAGACAGACACCAGACATGTAGATTTTAAGACAGCAGGTTGTACTGAGTGCCTAGAGGACAGTAAGCCAGCGAGGGGGACCAATGGGGGCTGGTCCCAGGGCCGCCTTCTGGCACGGCACACACTCCTCCTTGCCTCGGTCTCCTGACCCATCGTCACCACCCAGACTCTTGTCCCTCCTTCCACCCTTTCCACCCAGCCATGGTGCCGCCCGGGGTGTAGGCCATGGCACCAGGAGCTGGGGCTCCAGTGATCCGCCAGCCTCGGCCTCCCTTCCTGCCCCAGCAGAGCCCTGTGTCCTGTGCCACCTGCCCTGCCTGTCCCAGCCCTCCTCCCCTCCTTGTCCCTTCCTTGTCCCTTGTCCTTCCTTGTCCCTGTTTCCTCTCCTTCTTTCAAACTCACATCCCCTCTGGTGCTCACCATGGGCTGAGCCTCTGGACTCCATGGTCCCCTTTTTCTGTCCTTGCTCTGTCATCTACTGTCACTCCAACCCTCCTGCCCTCATGGAAGATGGCAGCCCCCAAGCCATCCCTGTGTCTGCAGTCACATGGATGACCTGCTACTTTGTCCCCAGCTCTCTTCCTGATTCCCACAGTCTCTGCTTCTGCACTGCCATCCGGCCATGCCGGCCCCTCTCCCGCCCAGTCTGCTCACCTCCTACCCTCTTGTGCTCTCTGACCTGCTGCTCCACCTGGGAGACAGGCATTCCCAGCTCATTCCAAACCCATGTCCCCAGCCTCCAAAGAACTGGGGCCCTGTTCAGCATCCCCATCTCCCACCACTTTCCTGAGACTGCAAATCATCAAAAAAGAAGAACCTTTCAATATAGTACCAATCTTTTCCCCTAGAAATAAAGGTACATTTATTATAGGTTTTGGTTTTGGTACATTTTGTACAAGAAAAGAGAATGCTTTATTTTTGGCGGTAAGAATTACTGATGAGCAACCATAAATAGTTTTTTAAAGTAGACCTTTTAAATCATACTGTGTTTTACAAAATGTTACTGAGTATGCTATGAGAAATTACTAATAAGCATCTTTATCTGTTTCTAATTTAGAGACGCGAGGAGGAGCGGCATGATAGGGCTTTCAGATTTCTTCTTTCCAAAGAGGAAACTTTTAGAAAACCTTGACAACTCTGAAGACGTAGGCCATTAATACAGAGAAGAATACATTTTCATGTTAAAATAGTGCTCTTTACAATTTTGGCACCAAATACAGCTTCTCATTAATCACACACAGCTGCAGTGTGAGTGCTTCTCTCCATGGACATTGAGTGTGGCGGTGCTTTGTGGGGTCTGTTCAATGATGGCTCTTCACTGTCTTGTGAGGACCTTAACTGTAAGAAATTCATAACAGTGAAAGAATCTCTTTTAGTTAAATAATCTATTTGGAAACTGCAGAGTCAGAAATGGGGTCTGGGCAGTTTGGAAAGTGGCTTTTTAGCCAGGTGCAGTGGCTCACGACTGTAATCCCAGCACTTTGGGAGGCTGAGGCTGGCAGATCACATGAGGTCAGTAGTTCGAGACCAGCCTGGCCAACAAGGTGAAACCCCATTTCTAATAAAAATAATACAAAAATTAGCCAGGTGTGGTGGTGGGTGCCTGTAATCTCAGGTACTCGGGAGGCTGAGGCAGGAGAATCGCTTGAATCTGGGAGGCAGAGTTTGCAGCGAGCCAAGATCGCACCACTGCACTAGAGCGAGACTCCATCTGAAAAAGAAGAAAAAGAAAAAAAAAAGAAAAGTGGCTTTTCTTCCCCATGACTCCAATCTGGTGGATAATTCAGATTAGCTTCAAGGCTATGGCTCAGGCCATGGAGAGAACTCCTGTCTGGGGGCCCAAGGAGTGAGATCAGGCCCCTCTAAAACTTAGAGGGACAGATTACATGACGACTTTGGGGACAGCTTGCTAAGTGTCCATCTGGTAGCATTTGGATGAGACTTGCTTTCACTGTGACTGTCTCGTAGGGAGGTGGCGGGGAGGGAAGTGGAGCCCTGCCTCCTCTCACCCCTGAGGCTGCCCATGTTTACCAGGAGAAGCTCATCAAACTGCCGGCTAGCTCAGTGAGCAGCATCACTGGGCCCAAGAAAAGGCACGTGGAGAGGAGTTTGGTAAGCCTGCGCATAGGTGACTATCACCGTAGATAAACTCAGTGTGAAAATCTGAAGGTATACAGCATAAATCAGGAGCAGTTTTTCACCCTGTCAAAAAGGCAAGTGGTGTTTCAGTAATAAAAAGAATGAAGCGTGGAGACACATGGCAGTGTGGGTGTGATGAGATCCGCCCCTGCTGGTGGACAGGCCCCTGCCTTTGTTCCTCGAAAGGGCTTTTGTCTCAAAAAGTGAGTTTTTCTTGGGAATGACTTGGTCATAGAAAGAGAAGCAGTATTCTATATGAGTCAGCAAGGGCTGCCACGCAGTACTGCAGACCTGGTGCTTACATCACAAAGACCCAGTGCTTCCATCACAAAGACCCAGTGCTTACATCACAAAGACCCGGTGCTTACATCACAAAGACCCGGTGCTTACATCACAAAGACCCGGTGCTTCCATCACAAAGACCCGCAGTGCTTACATCACAAAGACCCAGTGCTTACATCACAAAGACCCAGGGCTTACATCACAAAGACCCAGGGCTTACATCACAAAGACCCGGTGCTTACATCACAAAGACCCGGTGCTTACATCACAAAGACCCGGTGCTTCCATCACAAAGACCCGGTGCTTCCATCACAAAGACCCGGTGCTTACATCACAAAGACCCAGTGCTTACATCACAAAGACGTAGTGCTTACATCACAAAGACCCAGTGCTTACATCACAAAGACGTGGTGCTTACATCACAGAACCACTTCTTTCTCACTGTTTTGGAAGCAGAAGTCCAAGGTAAAGGTGTCGGCAGGGCTGGTTTCTCGGGAGGCCTCTCTCCGTGGCTCGTAGCTGCTGTCCTCCTCATGGGTCCCCACCGGGTCTTCCCATGTGCCTCTCTGTGTCCTCATTTCCTCTTCTTAGTAGAAGGCTGGTTGTATTGTTTTAGGGTCCATGGTAATGACGTCATATTAATTACCTTTTAAAGATCCTGTCTTCAAATGCAATCACAGGCTGAGATACTGGAGGGTTCAGACTTCACCTATTGAATTTTGTTGGTGCAGGACAGGAGTTCGTCCACAGTGCATTCCTTCTCCAGCCCCCAGAATGGCTTTACCCTGACTTAGCAAGCAAGAGATCTGATGTTCAAACAGAAAGATTTTCATGTGGAAACATGAACTGGCTCTACTGGTATAAAAAGAAATCTAAATAGAAAAAGAAAAGAAAGGAAGGAAGGGAGGGAGGGAGGGAGGCTGGGAGCGGTGGCTCAGTCCTGTAATCCCAGCATTTTGGGAGGCCGAGGCAGGCAGAACACGAGGTCAGGAGTTTGAGACCAGCCTGGCCAACATAGTGAAACCCCGTCTCTACTAAAAATACAAAAATTAGCTGGATGTGGTGGTGGGTGCCTGTGATCCCAGCTGCTCAGGAGGCTGAGTCAGGAGAATCGCTTGAATCCGGAGGCAGAGGTTGCAGTGAGCTGAGATTGCGCCACTGCACTCCAGCCCGGGAGACAGTGGGAGACTGTGTCTCAAAACAAAAAAGAAAGAAAGAAACATGAACTGGTCTTGTCTAGTTGACACTGTAAACCAAGAAGTATGTGAAACAGATCACAATTAACTCAGAAGTTTATTTTGCCAAGGCTCAGGACATGCCGGGAAGGGAAAAACTACGGGATCGCAGAGGCAGTCTGTGCTGGGTGCCTCCCTCCAAAGGGCTTCACTGTTGTAAGCGGAAAAGTGGGCCGGAGGGGAAAAAGGAGGATGTGGTCATCACTGAGCCCACGGGCTGCAAGGGAAAAGGAGCAGGCGGGGAATCGTCAGTTCTGCGTCATCTAATGCTCAGTAAATCTGCATTTCACCTAAGACAAGGTGGACGCAGAGCTGCTACCTGAGATGTTTAACCTTTTATCTGTAGCTCTCTGCCTAGGAGCAAAAGGAAAGGCAGCTTCTTGCATGACTCATCTTTCCGATTATTTTTTTTTTCCTTCTGGCAGAGTGAACTGGGGTCCTGAGCTTTCATTTTCCTTTCGTGACACCGTCTGAACACCTGTGTCATCTCAGAGTGGTGACCAAAATGCCCAGGCCTCATTTGGAGTATAAGCGCTCATCTGCCCAGCCAGACCCAGGGTTTTCAGGACGCTCCTTAGAGTGGTCTCTGGGCCAAAGCAGAGTTGGCGTGGGCGCCCACCCAGGTTCCGTGCCCTGAGTGCTGGGCCACTGTCCGGCTCAGCACGAGACTCAGGTGCACAGCCCTTAGATCCACCCATGCATTGGATTCTCCTGCCTAACGCTCTGTCCCTGTACCTCCCCCAACAGAATTTGGGGTCTTCATGTGGTTTTGGGTCACTCTTAGCTAACTCCAGCCCCTAGGGGTTGTCCCTGTCTCAGGGTTGACTGTTGCCATTGGGGCTCCAAGTGCCCAGAGGCCAAGCTCCAGCAAGGGTGGAAGATGAGCTAATTGTGTAACTAGCAAAGCCTAAAGGGGGATCCCTTCTCCATGCCATTTAGTCGGGGAGCTTTAAATATCTTGCTCTAATACCTGATTAAGGTGCCAGGCTTCTATGAGCAAAAACTGGATTGTTTGTGCCTCATAAACCGGATTCCTAATCCCAGAATACTCAGCCAGAGGGCTTCCTCTCATCTAGGAAGACCCTTTCCCTATTCTGCCATTGATTTGGACTCTTCTTGTTACAGGCTGACTCATCTATATTCTTCTTCATAGCCTGCAGTTATTTCTTGTTAAAATAGCCAAAGGTAGTTGGGCTTTCATTCAGATTGTTATTTGTCTTTAGGGTTAACTCAAATGGTTTATTTAATAACTACCAGCTTTGTTGCAAATATCATTAACTGGTCAAGACGTTGGATAAAATAAACTATTCAAGTGGCTGGTGTGTTTGAACAAAGTCGCTCTGGGAGAACAGCAGAAACTCCTTTGCTGCAATGAGGCTGGGAGGGGTGCCTCGTACCCTAACGGGGTTGGTAGGGGCTCCGCTACCAGAAGGGGGGGTTTGCTAGCACATGGAGAGAAATCCACATCTGGATTTAGCACCTCAAGAGACAAAGACAATTTTTCCAATTAAAGTCACTTTAAAAATAAACTCTGAAGGTGATGGAGCCTTTGCTGGCACCATGGCTCATGCCTTAATCCCAGTAATTTTGGAGGCCGTGGTGGGAGGATTCTTTGAGGCAGGAGTTTGAGACCAGCCCTGGCAATGTAGTGAGACCTCTTCTCTACCAAGAAAAAAAAAAAAATTAGCTGGGAGTGGTGGCATATGCCTGTGGTTCCAGCTACCCGAGAGGCCGAAGTGGGAGGACAGCTTGAGCTGAGGAATTTGAGGCCACAGTGAGCTGTGACTGCACCACTGCACTCCAGCCTGTGCGATAGAGTGAGATCCTGTCTCTAAAAAAGAAAAAGAAAAAAAAAGTCCCTGGCATTCATATGGTGTGAGTTTGAAAAATATCTGCTTTTCTTTAGTTGCAGTGTGGGGAGGGGGGTGGGTGGGAAGCAGAATTGAAAAAGCTACAAGATGCAAATCAGTGGATGGTGGTTTTATGACTTAAAGAATGGTCCGTAATTAAGGGCGACCTGACTCACGCCTGTACTCCCAGCACTTTGGGAGGCTGAGGTGGGTGGATCACCTGAGGTCAGGAGTTTGAGACCACCCTGGCCAACATGGCAATATCCTGTCTCTACTAAAAATACAAAAATTAGCCAGGTGTGGTGGCACACACCTGTAATCCCAGCTACTCAGGAGGCTGAGGCAGGAGAATCGCTTGAATCTGGGAGACAGAAGTTGCAGTGAGCGGAGATCGCACCACTGCACTCCAGCCTGGGCTATAATGCAAGACTCTATCTAAAAAAAGAATAATAATACTAAGTAAAAATTAAAAATAAGAATGCTCTGTCCCATTGAAATTCATGTCTTAAGTCTTTGTCCAGGCAGCAACAACCAGTGGCTTATTTGGTTTCAGCCTAACTTTGTTAGCCTGTATAGTTTTCATCCCTAAAGAAAGTGGAGTATATTTCTTCTGTTGGTTTATGATTTATAGGACAAGAAACAATGAAAGCAGGGATGAATCCAGAAATATGTGCTTACTCAGCATGGTGGGGTTCTGAGGTGGCCGAGCAGGGCTGATGATTTGCTTTTGAA